TTGTGCAAGTACTTTGCTCACGCTGTGCTTTGTGGAGGTATCGCTTTGAGAACAATATGTGAAAGAGGAAAAAAAGAAAAAAAAATTCCGCCTTAATGGCATCAGTTGTCAGCGGCTCACTCAGCGGAGGATTACAGCTAAAGCATAGCTTTCTCTGCTATCGACCACATGCACTTATCATGCGTTTTTTTTTTTTTGCATTTATGAAGAAATAAAAACTCGTGCTTAAAAAATCCCTGAAAAAAAACCCGGGATGTATGTGCGTATATATGTTTGCACCTGTATGCGCGTATGTATATGAACATGTGTGTGTATGTGTTTTCGTTTGTCTAGCATATTTTTCCAACTCCGTGATCGGATAAGCTGAGGAACTGTATTGGAAAGCTAGTTTTTATGCGCTTTACCACCTCTGAAGAATACAAAAATGCTTACCGGTGCTGGCTTTTCAGTGTTCTGTGTCTGTTTGTTTATGTTTGCTTATTTGTTGTTTGTTTTGCTTATTTCATGCACTTTTGAATTCTGCATGTCACACACTTTTAACTCTACCTGAGAAGCTGTGAAACTGAAATTTTAGGGGAACGTCCCCTTCTGTAAGTGGTCCAAAAGCGCGAAGTCAATTCTCATGCATGACTGTGCCCCGCGTGTCCACGCCTGAATGAAAATGCGAAGAAAACGATTTTTAGACCAAACAAGATAGGAAATTTGAATTTGACGGATACTTCCTGTAAGTGCGCGACCTCAAGATTTGAAAAGTTTTTATGGTAAAAAGGTTTGCCGTAATCATTTTTGTTTAAAATTATATCAAATATGATCAGTGCCAGCCTTAGAAAAATAAAATTTCAAATATTTCCAAAAAAAGTAAGCACCTGTTCGTACCTGATAAGACTATGTTTTTAGACTGGGATCAGTGCCCAAAACACGGGAGTTAATTTGTGCTCCTACAGGTCTTAAAGAATGCGAAAATAAAGGCCCAAAGTTCAACAGGAGCCGAAGAACAACAAAAGGAAGCGGCAGTGGCAGACATAGGTTGGTTAACAAAAGGTTTCGAAGCAGCGTTGCTTCATGTCGATACTTGGCGTCAGTTGTTCCTTCGATCTTTCGCCAAAACGTACTTTCTCTCAAACTTATTAAGGATACTGGTGCAACATTAAGGTCTGAATTTATTAAGGATACGTGCGCCATTTACGCAACCCCTCTATGATTTCTGCAAAAAATGGCTCAGACATTCAAGGCGGTATGTAATTCCTTTCACTTGGACACTTTGGTTAAAACCCGTGCTGTTAACTGCAGCGACCATCAAAGACCATTATCAGAATCGATAAAACTTCTTAAATAACCAGCACAGGATCTCCCTACCCCTTGCGTGAGCAAAAAATTTCAAATTCAGCTTTAATGCACGCCTATGTTACAGATGTGAACATGTCCAAGTTGAGATTGAAACATCGCTAGTAAAATGCGAACTCAGGGACTGGGCTGTGAAAAATGCTCTGATTTTACGAAAACATCTGCTGTCCGTGTTCGAACCAGCAAAACAAAAAATTAGCTTTCGTGAATATTTGTGACGTCCCTATGGGCGCGAAAAATAAATTTGCAGCTAAGACCTAATTTACGAAACCAGTCAAACTATGAAAATGAGATTCTACGTGGGTATTTTCTAGTTATCTGTGACCTAAATTTTTTAAATCCAGGTTTGCGCGTTAAACGTGAGTACAATTCCAGTTTTGGACAATTTTGGCATTGATTTAACTCTGCGACTGAATTTGTAGGATTGCTAACTGTGCGAGCATGTAAACTTAAAACCCAGGCTAAATGCGCCAGGCTACACCTACACCTTGCTAGCAGTTCGGTGAGCGATTTTCCTGCCAAAACTTTTAAGTATCCGTACATGAGAACCACGGCTGAATTTGAAACATTTAAGTGGCACTTGGACAGAGAATACCCCTCTAAAATTTCAGCTTTCAAGCTTTTCCGGTTCCTGAGTTAGTAATTTTCTTGCCAAAATTTTCACATGCTTGTATATAAGTACCACGTGTATCGTGTTGAAATCTTTAAGTTGTACATGGACAGGGAATACATGTTCCAGCCTTTCTGGCTACCAAGTTAGCAATTTTCCCGCCAAACCTTTTGCATGCCCACATATGCTGAAACTTTACATGGACATTCTCTGTATATCTGTGAACTGAAGATATCTAATTCAGCTCGTAGGATTGGTTCTCTTGGTTCTCACCAATCCTACGAGCTGAATTAGATATCTTCAGTTCACAGATATACAGAGAATATCCATGTAAAGTTTCAGCTCTCTACCTTGTCTTCTTCCCGAGAACCCTTTCATGCCGAAAAATTTGCGTATTTTTTAAGGCATCCGTACGTGGGACCCGGGTGCACGCAGGTTGGAACGCACCAGGCTCTCCGATGCGGTCATGCGTTTTTGCACTAAACTCGCAGATCGCTATTAGTGGGAATGATTCCTACGCTGTAGCTTAACACTTGGGCTCATATTGGCCATGCTTTGGTTTCATCCGGTATGCAGCATAATGCGCATCAGTTGGGATGAAGGTGTTGCGCTATCTAGGCGGGTATTAGTGGGCTCAACCCCAGTCCCCGGGTAAGCGTGGTACCCGCGTATGAGCCTGCCAAAATTTTTTTCGGGTAAGTTCATAACTTGGGGGTCTGAGAACCTAGAAGGCTGAAATCTTGGGGTAATGTTCCCCGCCCAAGCAGGTATTAGTGGGCTCAAACCCAGCCCCAAGAGGCTGAAATCTTGGGGTAATGTTCCCCGCCCAAGTGGGTATTAGTGGGCTCAAACCCAGCCCCCGAGTAAGCGTGGTACCCGCGTACGAGCCCGCCAAAATTTTTTTCTGGTAAGTTCATAACTCGGAGATCTGAGAAGCTAGAAGGCTGAAAT